CAGCAGCTTCGCGAGCATATGCGTGTCATCGTCATCGGATGCTGCAGCGAGGAGCTAGACAAGTTGCTAGATTTGCCCAGATTGGCTATTTCTGCTCAAACTGTTTCAGGGCGGTATCGCGTCGGGCGGTGGGCTCTGCTGTAGCTTCTGCTCCCCGCTGTAGCTCCACAACGAGAGACTCCCACAGGATGACCAGGGTAGCGGCTTGAAGCTACGGGCTAGCCCTTCAATTCAAGCTACACAGCAAGCTCCACCTCTCAGTGGTAGTCCGGCTACAGCGTATCGCGCAATCTCGCTCTCAATCAGATGCTACGCTCTCAATCAGGCGAATATGTTGTTACATGTCGTTCACACGTATACAATATATATCGCGTTGGAAGCAAGAAGCAACGGAAACCGTAAGTTGCACAATATACCATATCCCCTTGACCAAATCTCAACCTATGTTGATCCACGGCGAAGACGATTTCGAAAATCAAACGACACATTTTCGAAAAGCTCTCGACGAGACAGTTCCAATGCCGCCATTTCCGGCCTCGCCACTCCTTCTGTTGTGGAATAGTCAGGCTTTGGAACTCGGTCCAGGGGGCGTGGTATCATAGTGCTGTGAGATCAGTGAAATCGATTCTCCTCTGCGCCATATTTTTTCTTCCCACCACCCTTTTTTGCTCTTGCCTTTTCCTTTTCCTCTGGAAATTCGATGTACCCCTTCAAAACATGTTTGGCCGTAAAATACAAAATACCGAGTAAACCCCTGAGAAGCAAGGCGTGTCAGCAAAATGTTTTTCTTTCGATGTCAAGACAACAACAACAACTGAGAAAAGACGGTAGCAGCGGGTCCCCCCATGCCGCGCGACTGATGCGACATCAAGAGGGCACCAGTAGTATGCATAGCTGAGCGGAGGGATATGTATGTGCATTTTCATACATTGCGTCTCACCCACTCCCCGCTCCCCCCCCCCTTGTATCGTACTGTGTAGGCGGATACCGGCATGAAACAACATATTCGCCTGATTGAGAGCGAAGTATCTGATTGAGAGCGAGAGCCAAAAAAATTGAAATTTCGGGTCCAGACGCCTCTTGCCATTTCTTGGCAAGTAGGGGACGGGCTATTCCAAGAAGCGGTGCAAATTGAAGGTCTCATCAGCAGCTTCGCGAGCATATGCGTGTCATCGTCATCGGATGCTGCAGCGAGGAGCTAGACAAGTTGCTAGATTTGCCCAGATTGGCTATTTCTGCTCAAACTGTTTCAGGGCGGTATCGCGTCGGGCGGTGGGCTCTGCTGTAGCTTCTGCTCCCCGCTGTAGCTCCACAACGAGAGACTCCCACAGGATGACCAGGGTAGCGGCTTGAAGCTACGGGCTAGCCCTTCAATTCAAGCTACACAGCAAGCTCCACCTCTCAGTGGTAGTCCGGCTACAGCGTATCGCGCAATCTCGCTCTCAATCAGATGCTACGCTCTCAATCAGGCGAATATGTTGTTATGAGTGGACATGGTACCGTCATGTTCTCGAAGGTTCTAGGCCCAGCCAACCACGGCATGCCCGTGTCAGAGGACGAGGCCATGCAGAGCGTGACCTTCGATTAGGTCCACCGATGCAAGCGCACTACCCCATAGCTCAGGTACGGTCGGGTTAAGTGTACTTTCAGCAGAAAGTGCGAGATATATTTCAGAAATGGTGCCCAGTGATTGGAAAAACATAGTATGATGGAAATGTCATGTCCCGACCCCCGACACTTCTGTCCACCGAGAACCGATGAAGGTCTACTACCGCACCTGCTGTCAGAGTCGTCCATAACATGGTCGATCACTCCGGCATAGCTCCGGGCAAGTTTTGAGTAAATTCGCCCCTATTTGAATGTGAACGGAAGGAACGATGGAATACCTTCTTTCGAGAGCTGCTCAATCGTTCACTTATGAGACTCAACCAAAGCGTATGCTACAATAGAGGGAAGGAACGGGGGGACGTGCAGGCCACTATTCCTCGCGATGCATTGCTTGTGGAAGGAGTAGAGAATTTTTACGCACGCGCACCGGTATTGCTGTTGGTTTGAGGGTCTCGCATGTTATAGCGTTAGACTGAAAATTTAGTGCAAGACCGAAAGGCGGCGCAAAGTGCAATTAGCCAACGTCTCATGATGCCGGGCAACAGCGCCGGGGGCGAACAAAAATTGTCCTTGAAAAGGCATCGCCGCTTTCCCATGTACGACTTTACATCGAGGACAGCTGCTGGTGTCCTGTTCGCCCTCCTGCTTGCTGTTTCCGGCGCAAATTCCAGGCCATCTAATGTCACCCTTGCTCTGGTGCATCCATCTATCCNCCCCCCCCCCCCCCCCTCACGGTATGGATTGCTATGGTTCGAAGGTGCTCGACCAGTACGTCCTGACGGGTATCAAGACGAAGATGGGCACTCCAGGCTACACATCGGTAACAAGAGCGACCCCGACCACGACGGTGTTGCCGTACCTTCCCCGTGTGCGAAGCTTTTTCCGAAAAGCCGTTTGCTGGGAAGGGCGGCGGCGGTGAAAAAACTTGGACGCCATCAGCGACATGTACGTTGCTTTTGTTTCGATACGTGAAACAAGCTCTGTGGGGCTGAGGGTTTTGTTGTCTTCAGCGTATTCTTCTAACCCTGTCTCTCCTGGTGTACTGTCGGAAACTTGTCAGGTCGATAAGCTCTCATTGGACGTTCAAGCTCTAGTGAACGTCCAACACTCTAGTTTGTTTTGTTCCTGACGCGTTTCCAGCGTTATCAACCATTCCCCATGTTTTCAGTGTGCCCTGGCGTTGCCTTAGGCAGTCGATGCGCTGGTGGTTTGTGGCAAGCTGTTTGTGTATGACCCCGTGACGTCAAACAAACTGATATTCACATGGAACGTTCATTGTTCTCTGTTTCGTGTCTCAGGTTCTAGGAGGGCTTCATGCGGTTTGGCTTGGAATACGTTGGGCCGATCCTCTCCACCGAGAGTGTTGATCGTCAGGACGACGCTAAGCGCTACCTCAAGCCGTGCTTATTCGCGGACGAGGGGGCACGAGGTGGAAGAGGTGACCCAGGGGTGGACGGGGATATTCTTCGTCTCCGAGCGAGAAAAGCGATGGTCCTGATGACCACGCTGGCTACAAAGCCTTGGCAGACACCTAAACCGTGTTGACAAGGTGTGTCACGTGTCTTATCATATACAATTATCGTGCTGCCTCTCTTTTTGCCTCTTTCTCTCTGTCTGTGATGATGTTGGATGCTTGCGTGTTTCTTGTCGTGCATCCGTTTTGCCCGCGGCTCCCTATAATGTGCACCCTTCCTCATCCCAGCGTTTCCGTTGGCGACCCCTGATGTTTGAATGTACCTCGCCTCGCTGCAATTTTGTTCTGGGGGGGTGCGTAGCTTATCCTCGTCTCTGACGTATTCTACGACCTGCGGCAATGCTGTCGGTTTGTGCCCCCGCCCCCCTCGTCCCCCCCGGTGTTCGCCATCGGGGTTGGGTTTTCGTCGCTTGGCAACGACGTTGTAAAACAACCGATTCACTTCGTGTACTCGGCAACCAGGTTACCGTTTTTTTTTTTAACTCTGTTTTTTTATTTTTGGCGGTAACCATGTTGTGCGGGTGGACAATCCTCACTCCGCGCAAGGGGGATAATCGCACCACGTTGTGTTAAAATGGACACGCATTCTCTAGGCAGCTACACAGTGCTTACAACTGTCTCTGGAAGTGAAAGCACCAGAAAATATAATAAGTCATACGCAGCTGTCATCCGTACGCAAGGAAGTAAGCACAAGATGCCGAACAACCTTAGTAGGATGCAGCGCACGCTTCGTGTGACTCGCCGGATACCTCACGGCGTTTCGCGCTTGGTGATGTGAGAGCCTGATCTCGTGGGAACCCGGCGTGCTCCGTCCCGACTTTGTAGGAATAAGAGGTCCNTGTAAAAAAGCCGATTCACTTCGTGTACTCGGCAACCAGGTTACCGTTTTTTTTTTTAACTCTGTTTTTTTATTTTTGGCGGTAACCATGTTGTGCGGGTGGACAATCCTCACTCCGCGCAAGGGGGATAATCGCACCACGTTGTGTTAAAATGGACACGCATTCTCTAGGCAGCTACACAGTGCTTACAACTGTCTCTGGAAGTGAAAGCACCAGAAAATATAATAAGTCATACGCAGCTGTCATCCGTACGCAAGGAAGTAAGCACAAGATGCCGAACAACCTTAGTAGGATGCAGCGCACGCTTCGTGTNCATGTTGTGCGGGTGGACAATCCTCACTCCGCGCAAGGGGGATAATCGCACCACGTTGTGTTAAAATGGACACGCATTCTCTAGGCAGTTACACAGTG